TGCTTTCTGAAAAAGACAATACTTGTATCAATCCTTGAAGGATGAGTGGGAATTAGCCAGGTGGATGGGGAGGATGAAAAAGAGAGGATGTACTAGAGGATGGAACAGTACGGAAAAAATGCTAGACCAATCAAAGGGGACCAGAGTAGAGGTAGCATTTGAGTGATGGAAGACTGGATCAGTCAATAAATGACCTCTCTTTACTCTTAACAATGGAGAACAAACTGAGGGTTGATGGAGGGAGGAGGGTGGGGCGATGGTATGGGTGGGTGAAGGGTATTAAGGAGGGCACTTTTTGTGGTGGGCACTGGGTGTTGTATGTAAGTGTTGAATCACTGAATTCTACTCCAGAAACCAATATTGCACTGTATGTTAACCAAAAAAAAAAAAAAAAATGACCCCTCTCTCTCCCTCCTCTCTCCCTTCTCTTTTTTATTTTGTTCTTGTTTTTCACTATGGCAAGAATTTTATCTTTATCCTGAACATGGTGGGGAGCCAGAGAAGGATTTTGTTCTAGAAATATCTCTCTGGATGTAGCGTGGAGAATGGTCTAGAGGGTGGTACCTTGAAGGTAGTGAAAACGGCAGGAAGAATAGAGAAAAGGAATAGGTGAGAAACAAGGGCTTCAGCTATGGTCATAGCAGAATGGATACTCAGGTAGGAGGACTCGAGGGAAAGTCTGTGTGGGTAGGCTTTTTATTACACTGGCAGCTTCTTTCTCATTTCAAACAGGGGACATAGAAATACAGGAATGACAAGGAATTGGAAAGTTCTAAGTCTGTCTATATCCTAAATTAGGCTTGCATGTTCTGAAGTTCAATACCATATAAATGCTGTAAAAGATCAAATAATACTAGGATGTATCTGTATCTGTAACAACATCAGCCCCATCCAAATAATGAGTTATAGAGCAACAAATCCAAGCTTCCAAAGGGCAGACCACCAACACAGAGAGTTCTTTCTTCTGTGCTGGTAGGGATGGTGGCTGCCTTCCATCACCTGTTCCCTGGCTGCCTTTGTTCTTCAAAGAACAGGCACATGATCCAAGCAGGCATCAGAATGCAGTGAGAGTAGCAATTAGTTCTGGTGAGCCACCTATTGGAATTAGTCCAGTTGAGAATGAGTTAGGAAAACTGCAACTGGAATTGTTCTTTGCACAAACCTTATTTCTCTTCCCTCTTCAGGCTTTGGTGGCAGGAAAGAAGACAGAAAAGAAAGAGGTTGAGTAGGCTCTGGATTCTGTAGCAGTTTGCCTTGGTTCAAAAGTAACAGAATTGAAATGAAGCTGTTGAAATAAAAATTGGAGTGCTTTCCCTGCACCTAGTCTCTCTGTGCCTGTCCCTGAGGATGGCTCCTGTGGCAGAAAGACCATTTTTGTCTTTATTCTCTTGTGGGCTTCAGGGATCTCTCATTGGAAAAAGGGATCATAGGGCCATGACAAGTTGTTACTGGCTCTGCCCTTCAAATATGCTTTCTTGACAACCTCAAAGGTATACCTTAGTGCTGAAGAGCAGGGCCTTGGAATGTCAACAACTTGGGTTTAAACCCTGGCTCTGACTCTCGCTAGCTGTGTAACTTGGGGAAAGTTGCTTAATCCCTCTGAATTTGAATTTTCTCATTGGTAAATGGGAATGTCAATATTTAGCTCAAGGGGGTCAAGGGTGAATTAAATGAGTCAAAGTATAGGTTACCTGGCTCAGAGTAAGGACTCAAAGGGTGGTAACTTTTACCATTCGAACAGTAAATTGGAGATGAATTTGCCAAATTAAGAGCGCAGGCCTTCACTTTTGTGGTTGCCCTCTACTTAGGCTGGAAAGAAGCAGAAGCCTTCAAGAATGTTGCCTCAGGCTTGGGTTGGCTTTCACCTTAAGGAAGGATGATTCAGTGTGGAATGTTGGCTGCCTCTATAGTGAGGATTCTCATGGGTCTAGTTTTGAACTGGGCTATGGGGTATTTGAGTTTTCTGTCCAGGAAATCAACTGAGGAAACACTGGGATAAGCATGTGGCGAGAGAGCTTCTCTAATTTGGTAAACTTTACTTTTACAGTGTTATTACATGACTTATAAAGGAATGTTCTCACTGATTTGGGGGCCTGCAGAAGCAAGTGCTACCACTCCAACTGGCTCTTAGCCATGAAATTGGTATCATTCCCAATTCAAACCTGCATTATTTATACATTTGCAGTGCCACAGTAGAGCTGACCGTTTCTCTTTTTTAAAGGTACCTCTTTTTGGACTTCCCAGCATGCCATGTCCCCTTTCTTCTTCCTTTCTTTCTGATAACAGAGAGCCAATGCAGTATGCTGGCTAAAAGCAAGAATTCTAGAGCCAGACTGCTTGGGTTTGAATCAAGCTCCATCACTTACAGGCTATGTTGCCTGGGGCCAAGAATTTATCTTTCTCTGGCTCAGATTCCCCATGTAGAACATAAAGACGAATAATAGGATTGTTGTGAGGATTAAATGAGTCAATATGTATTGGATGTAGAACAGATCTGGGTAATAGTAAGTGCTGTATGTGCCATGAACTATTCTAGATGTTTTTCATACATATGATTAATCAACCCTCACAATAACCTTATGAGTAAGCACAATTTATTCCCATTTCACAGGTAAGGAGCTGAAGCTTACAGAGGTTAACTAGTGTGAGAGCACATAGCTAGTAAGCAGAGAAGTAAATCTAGTAAAGAATTAAACCCAGGTTTGTCTGCCTACTTTCAAAGACCATGTTCTTAACTACTACTTACCCTGTCTCCCATAGTAGGTGCTGTGCTTTGTTTTTGCCTTTTAGTGTTGTTTTTTATTTTTTTAAAAGATTTGATTTATTTATTTATTTGAGAGAGAGATAGTGAGAGAGAGAGCACAAACAGGGGGAGGGGAATAGGGAGAGGGAGAGGCAGACTCCCCGCTGAGCAAGGAGCCCCATGCAGGGCTTGATCCCAGGACCCTGGGATCATGACCTGAGCTGAAGGCAGACACTGAACCTACTGAGCCACCCAGGCACTCCTAGTGTTTGTTTGTTTGTTTTTAATTCAATTAGCCAACATATAGTACATCATTAGTTTTTGATGTAGTTTTCAATGATTCATTAGTTGCGTATAACACCCAATGCTCATCACATCACATGTCCTCCTTAATGCCCATCACCCAGATACCCCATCTCCCCACCCATGTCCCCTTCCACAACCCTGTTTCTTTCCTGGAGTCACGAGTCTCTCATGGTTTGTCTCCCTCTTTGATTTCTTCCCAGTTTTCCCTCCCTTCCCCTATGATCCTCTGTGCTATTTCTTATATTCCACATATGAGTGAAACCATATGATAATTGTCTTTCTCTGATGTATTGTTTTTTAAAAACACATTCTTCTCCAGCATATTTGGCAATCTTGATGTGACCTGGCTACCTGAGAACAGAATCTCTCTCCTGACTACAGATACATGAACACTCAAAATGAAAATGGATGACTGGAATTAGCAAATTCCCAGAAAGCACTGGTAGCAATCATAGGAATAAATAAGTCAATTTGTTCACTGACTTACTGCCTTAGACTGGGTTATATCCCAGCTCAATTCCAGCTGGTCTCTTAGCCTCTAGCCTTATCCCGTCCTTCAAACAGCTTTGGGATTCATCTAACTTTTCAAACTTTTGTTCTAAATTACCCCTACACATGGAAAAGTGCTTCTAGCAAGTCTAGGGGAGGCATAGTTTAAAGCAGTCTACTATAAGCATAAGATTTCTTTGAAGACTTGCATTTTATCTTAAAAATTCATGTGGATTTTGCTTATTTCCTGTTCTAATTTTTTCTTTCAAATAAATGTTTTATTAACAAATTAATTTTAGAGTCACAGAAAAGTTAAAGGGACAGTAAAGAAAGTTCCTGATTCCCTTACCCAGTTTCCCCTAATGTTAACATCTTTTATAGTAATGGTACATTTGCCAAAACTAAAAGATCAACATTTATGCATTGTATGCACTAAACTCCAAACTTTATTTGGATTTCCCCAATTTTTCTACTAATATGTTTTTCTGTTCCAGGATCCTACCCAGGGTACCACGTTGTATTTAGTTGTCATATTTCCTTAGTCTCTTCTGGTCTGTGAAGTTTTTCAATCGTTCCTTATTTTTCATGGCCTTGATTAACTGTTTTGAATGGTACTAGTCACAATTTTGTGGGATGTCCCTCAATTTGGTTTTGTCTGATGTTTTTCTCATGATTATATTGGGGTTATGGGTTTTGAGGACGAATACCATGGGGATGAAGTGGTTTTCTCATTATATTTAAGGGTACTTCATAGCAACATGACTTATCACTGTTGATGTTAACCTGGATCACTTGGTTAAGGAAGTGTTAAAACAAGGGTAAGGCAAACACTACCAGGTTTCTTCACTGTAAAATTATTTTTTTAAGTTTTTTTTTAAATTAGTTTGTTAACATACAGTGTGATATTAGTTTCAGGGGTATGTAAAATGATTATTTTTCCCTTTCCCTACTCTCTTCTTAGAAATCTGAGTCACTAAGCCCAGCCCACACTCACAGGGATAGGAATTAAACTCCACCTCCTGGATTGGGGAATATGGACATATATTATTTCAAATTATTCTGTAAGGAAGATTTGTCTCTCCTGCTCTATTTATTAATTAAATCATTTATTTATATCATTTTGGATCATTAGGTGTGTCTAAACATAATACTTTCTACTTCCAAATCTATGAATGGAATTAACTTTTCAGAAACATGTGTATCCTAAGGATTCTGAGAAACACAGACAAAACCCATGCCCCACTAGGTCACTTCCTTGCTTCCTCTGAATCATAAGCTTTAATAATAGTTATGAATGAAAGAATAAATGAATGACACAGGTGAGCATGATCATTAGTGTTGTCTGAGGGTAACGATGTTTGACTCTAACACCAGTGTCTGACCAAATAGCTACTCATATTTCCTTTCCTTTCTTTCTTTTTTACAAGGAATCCACTTTATTGGACATTCGGGGCCAGTTTCTCTATTTGCCCCTCCCTGTGATCTTGGCCGGTGTGAGGAATGGAATTGTTGTCTGGTACAGAGTGGAGGGGATCTTGTTGATGTGGTAGAGACCAACCATGGAAAAGGTGAAGCAGGTGCTAATGCAGACCTGGTGGATGAGGCCAGATGCAAAGAAAGCCAACAGGAGACAGAGAAGAATCTCAGGGAAGATGTTTTTTTGGAATCCTTTGCCAAAGACAACATTCTCCAGATTACTGATGGCGGTGAGAGAGAAGACTAAAAGGCTGGAACCCGGCAGCCCCCCTCCCTTGATGGTGAACCACTGGGTGCAGGCCACCTGGAGGCTATACATGTGCATCTCCGCAGAGAGCAGCAGGGACAGGAGGGAGGAGAGTCCCAGCGACGCGCCGGTACCCATGGCCATCATGCCCAGCCGTTGGCCCTATGGCTGCCGGGCCAAGAAAGAGGGAGCCCAACTGGAACAGTTGCTGGGCATATATGTCATCCCCTTATATTTCTCCTTTTGATATTCCTTAAGACATACTCAAAATGTTTTATTTATTTTTAAAGATTTAGTTTTGAGAGAGAGAGAGAGAGTGCGTGCACACACAGGGGGATGGGGGTTAGGGGTAGGGACAGAGGGAGTGAGAAATTCAACCAGACTCCACACTGAGCATGGGGCCCCATAGGGGCTCACTCTCACAACCGCTAGATCATGACCTGAGCTGAAACCAAGAGTGGACACCTAGCCACTGTGCTACCCAGGCACCTCTAAAATTCTTTTGTATTAAGACTACGTGTTAGAGGAGTAGCTGATGGAGCCATTTTGCGAAGGTGACTTTAAACTACTCCTTTACAACGTCTTCAACAACTCGGTAGCCTTTACAACGCAGTAAAAAAAGCTAAGAGGAGGGGTAGTGCCTCTTTAAAATAGGAAGCCTAAGGAGAAGACTCTCAGGCATGTGGGCATCTGGAGGCCTATTTTTCACACTGGCCTGAAATCGTGGATCAATTGCAGAGAGGCAGTAGCTCCTAGGTATTCTCATTGGTCTGCACCCAAGATGAAGGCGGAGTTTTGAGTATAAAAAAAAAGGAAGACTGGGTGAGGTTGTTTCTTGTTCTGCTGCTGCAGGGGGTTAATGGGTGGTTAGTGAGTGAATGTAGTCTAAAGTTTTACAGGCCTACGAGTAGCTGGGAAGTTCTCTGCTGGTTAGGAGAGGGTGAGTGGAAAGAACCAAGATTCTCCTAGATATCGAGGGAAATTTTGGGCAGCCTACTTTAGAATTGAAAGGTGAAGGAAGAAAAAGACAAGGGAATCTAAGCAAACAAAACATGAAAGCTGCCGTTTGCAGACAGAAAATATTTCCTAGGAGTTTATGGTCACTTCATGAAGTCATTTTATCAGGCATGTCTTCCTTGAAATACGGATGGAGGAGAAACTTTTCTAACTATTGGGGTTCCTAAAGGGAGTTCTTGGAGAAGCTTAACACTGAAACTTCAATTTTGAGTTTTCTTCTCTCATGCTCAAATCTTACTGAGAAGTCACCTGTTAATTGGCTTTTCTTTAACCTCCAGCTTAGAAGATGCTTCAGCAAAAGCACTCTTCCAGCTACCTTAGTGCAGTTGTATAAACTTCTAAAAGTACATAGTTCCTTTCCTTGAGGCAAATTCACTAATCTTGCTTCACAAAAATCTTCCAAATGCTTTTTATCTAGCCTTCATCTAGAGTTGTGAAGTCCATTGGAAACTCCTGTCTAAAGTAATGGCAGAAAGTGAGGGAAAACTATTTTCTCCCTGCTTTAGAGACTAAAAGTTAAATCAGCTTAACTGAAAATTATGGGCAGAAAATGTAGAGTATTTTTGAATTACATTTCTTCGAGAGAAGGAAGTGTCTTCCGTGATACGTAGTGAAGGACTAAAGTGAACTTCAAGCATCACGAGGCTTTTGAGTCTTCTTACCAGGGAGTTAAGGTTTTTAACTACAGTCCTCTAGAAAGCAGTTGCCTGACCTTAAAAGGACACAAAACCTGTGGGCTGAAACTCCCCTACTTGAATATGGAGTTGAGGGGGAAATGTATTACTTCACCTTGGGCTCTTCGTTTAATGTCAGAATTGCTTACCTGAGAGCACTTTTCTAGTGGGTGAATGGATAGAACCCTTTGCAGTAGGGATAATGAGGAAATGATCTGTTTAGATGGTTACCCAGGGCACTGTGAGAATTGTGAAGCATCCTTGAGCTTATTGAGAAACAATGTTTGTCCTAGAGAAAGGGGATAATGTGGTGTCTTTGTAACAGACTGATCAAGAGTATCCTATGTGATGGATATATTATCTTGACTGATTTCCCAAGTGCTACATAGCAAACTGTATTGCAGTTGGTGTTCAGCCATATAACGCTGTTTATTGTAAAAATCACACTATACCTAAACACCTAGGTCTACCTGCTTTAAGAAAAATCTGGAAAAATGGGGAAAAAGCATAAGGATATACAACTTGTCTACACTCATCCCCATGAGTGGGGAGTTAATTTTGTTAATACTGTACTTATGAAGGAAGCAGGGCTCAAGAGCATAGCTCTTGCCTTGTAGATCGTGTGCTCGAGATGTGTAGTTCTGGGTTCAGCAATCTGCTTGATGTTAAAATCACTTAAGATCTGGGATCTTGAGTCCTAGCCTTTCCAAAGGACATTCCTAGCTAATGGTTACAATTAGAACTGGGGTGTTGGGCCAGGGTGGGGTGTGGGGTGTGGGGAGGGGACTCCAGCAAGATGAAGCCCAGGGATAGCAGTGAGTGGCTTAGCTTCTCCGTGGCTGCTCAACATTGAAAACCAATTTTCTCATTCGTAGGGTTCTCACCTGTAACTCTTTACTGATAGCAAAGTTTCTCTGCTTCTAATAATACCAGAAGCTGGTATACTAATGACTTAGTGATCAATCAAGAATTCACTTAAATATAAGTGAAGTCTAATATAAAGTGCATGGTATATTTTGTCTACTAGCGCCCTTTCCATTTCTGTAAACTTCATTAACTATAAAAGCCAAAGAAAATAACAAAAAGCAAACCATATACACAACTCCAAATGGACAAAATACTCCCCAACAGAAAACTAACTGGGGACCCTGAAGAGTTGGCTTTTCTCACCTTAAAAATGCTGGGCAAAACCACTGACCCCTACTGTTGGCCTAATGAATGGACTCACCTGCAGGTGAGTCCCATGAAACTGGTGTCTCTACAATCAAGCTTTTTAAATGTCAAACTTCTTTTAGAACAAGACCTGTAGTAGTGCAGGATTCTCCTCTACCAATGGGACTTTGGCCATGCTTTAGGGCATTTCATCTGTGTGGAGACCTCTGAGCTTTGACCTGATGTGCAGTCTGTCTGCTTTCTGGCCCACTGAGCTCAGTTCAGCCCAAACCTCTAGGCATTATCCTAAAACTTGTCTGAGAATTTAGCTCTTTGTAACTGAAACCCTGACTAGCTCCTCTCAGGGTAGCATTAATAGAAATGGTTCAGTTGTGTCAATACCATTTTGGGTTCAACTCATTTCTTGGGTTTCTGCTTAGTATCCAGTGTTTACCTAGAGCTGCTCAATACCAGAGTTCAGTGCTACTTTCCCAGGAAACTGGTTGTTTGCTGTATCTTATTTCTTAGCACCAAATTTTAAAATGACCTTAGTCAAAGACCAGTATCATTACCTTAATTGTAGTCAGCCACTGAGATAAGTACTAAGCAAGAAGAGTAGGAAATCTCTAAGGTGAGAATTCAATGATAAATTGTAACAAGGTAAACTAAAACTTGTGCCTGTAGGAGAAGCTGTTCATTTCTCAGTAGGGTTTTGTTAAAGGGAGCATTATGAATATCAAGACCCTCTCCGACCATAAATCTACATGTAGGTGAGGCAATATTAGATACTCTAATTCAAGCCAGTGGCCTTTGAAACTTTTCTTTGCTATGCATCAAGGTTAAAAAAAAAAAGCCTGTTCTAGGAGCAGTAGGGGACAATGTACATGTTCACCAGCAACTACCGCAACAGGCCCAGAGAATATCCAAGGTTACTGGGGAACATAGTTGAAAATGTTTAAATACGATACCTAGGCTTATTAAACTCACCCATTAGCGTTTTTTCTTTTTTTTCAATCTGTCCCTATTAAGGAAGACCCCTCAAGCTTGAAGCTGTGATTACAGCATTAACCTTTCCAAATTCTCAGGATCCCTCTAGGGAAACTATACTTCTAGGCCTAATCTCCTTTCTTCCTCTGGCAAATTTAAGTTTGAGTAGAAATGATCTCACTCTGGGTCTTCAGGCTTCTGTGATGTGTGTTTCAGTGTTAAGTTTGAGGTCTTAAATGGAGATGGGGTTGGAGAAAAGGCTCAAAAGGAAGCTTCAGCCTTCACTATGGTTCTGAGTACTTTGATGCATAAAGCAATTTGCTTACATAGCAGCCCTTTCACAGACCTGATTCTGTTTAACTCCGAAGACTGGCCATTTTTTCCTTCAGGGAACTAATCCTGCAGAAGCTGTGGGTGTGAACTGTGGTGGCCAGAGGTTATCCAGGTCAGTTTTCCCATCCCCCACCTCCCAAACCAGAGCCATCATCACGAGACTGGTGACTGCAACAAGTGACTGGCTGGGAGCAAACAACTCTTCTCTGAAGATTGTGTGTTGAGTGAGATTGGTCTGTACGTAACAATATTGAATACCCCTGTGATGAGCACACTCTGGAAGGGAGGCCTTGCCCTCTGGGAAACTACAGCACAGCTTAAGAAGAAACACAAACACTCAGCTATGGCTCAAGGTGCTTAATCAGTTGCAACACAAACTCTCCATGGAAAAGGGTGAGGGAAAGCATGCTGGGAATCAGAACCGACTTTGAAGTCTGGCTGTTGCTGTTACTCTTTGAAGTAATGTTGAAAAGTGGTGTAGACTTATCTTTGGCCTAAACTACTCACTACAGTGAAAGCCCTAATGCCCTTTTTTAAAATTTGGTGTCTAATTCAGGCACAATATTACTTAACTGGGTGATGGAAGAGGCTTTTGAAGAACCTAAGTATGGAGTAAAGGGAATGAAACTTCACTGCACTAGCAGGAAGGCCCATGAGCTGACCACAAAATGTGGTCTCACTTCAATAGTGGGATGGCCTGATGGAAGCAAGGTCAAGTTTTCAAGCTGAAGGAGAAGCTTGTAAAAACCCAGGATGGTTTTTGGTCTGTGCTACCACTGGTGAGGTCTCTGAAGCATTCAGAGAATTGAGGGATATTTACATTAGGGGTGATGAACTAAAGGACAAGGAATAACTGTCAAAAGATACCTGATGTAGTGGAGGGGGAGAAGATGAGTAGGTGACCCTTGTTTCATCTGGTCCCTTGAATTCAGCTAGATAGCTATCAAATTCTGAACACCTGTGAATTCAACCTGAGCTCTA